AGGCTGAGGGGAGACCTTATCAATGCCTACAAGTATCTCAAGGGTGGGCTGAGGGAGGAGGGAACCAGACTCTTTTCAGTAGTTGCCAGTGAGAGGACAAGGGGCAACGGGCACAAGTTGGAACATAAAGGGTTCCCCTTGAATATGAGGAAGAACTTTTTCATGGTGAGGGTGGCAGAGCCCTGGAAGAAGCTGCCCAGGGAGGGTGTGGAGTCCCCTTCTTTGGAGACTTTCAAGACCCGCCTGGATGCTCCTGAGTAACATGCTCTGACAAGCTCTGGGTGGTCCTGCTTTGGCAGGGGAGTTGGACTAGATGATCTCTATGGTCCTTTCCAACTTTAAAAATCATAGAATCATAAAATGGTTAGAGTTGGAAGGGACCTCAAAGATCATCAAGTTCCAACCCCCCTGACATGGGCAGGGACACCTCCCACTAGACCAGGTTATGCAAAGCCCCATCCAGCCCAGCCTTAAACACCTCCAGGGATGGGGCACAAATTCAGTGAAAGTGTCCAGTTTTGGGCTCCTTACCACAAAAAAGACATTGAGGTGCTGGAGCAGGTCCAGAGAAGGGCAACGGAGCTGGTGAGGGATCTGGAGAGTAAGTCTTATGGGAGAGGCTGAGGGAGCTGGGGGTGTTCAGTCTGGAGAAGAGGAGGCTGAGGGGAGACCTTCTCATGCTCTATAACTACCTGAAGGGGGGTGTAGAGAAGCGGGGGTCGGTCTCGTCTCCCAAGTCACAGGAGATAGGACAAGGGGAAACGGCCTCAAGTTGCACCAGGGGAGGTTTAGATTGGATATTAGGAAACATTTCTTCACGGAAAGGGTTATCCAGCCTTGGAATGGGCTGCCCAGGGAAGGGGTTGAGGCACCATCCCTGGAGGTGTTCAAAAGACGGGTTGACATGGTCCTCAGGAATATGGTTTAGTGTTTTTATTTATTTATTTTTTTATTTTTATTTGTCAGTTAGGTTGACGGTTGGACTAGATGATCTTAAAGGTCCTTTTCAACCCAGACGATTCTATGATTCTGTGATTCCCTTCCCAAAACTGGTGATGGAAACC